CTGGAAAATTCAAAGTCTATTTTAAAGTGGCAATAGTTGTAGCTATTGATTTTTTCTCTCCGATTTTTATTTTCAATAAAACATTTCATGTGTCATTAGTGTTAATTTTTAGAAGTCATCGCCGAAATGTGCACATTGAAAATATACGCGGGGTTGCGTCCGGGTCTCCAGAGGGCGCCATCTATTGAAATCTAGTTTTGTCAAGCGACACTCTGGTATTACGCTACAAGATGTCAACACTGTCGGAGGCCCTGGACGAAATGTTCAATACATCGCCATCTTGAGGGGGCTAAGCCTCTCTGTCGGCCTTTCACTGAAGATTGTATGTTATTTCCCATAATAGTCTGTGTCGTGCACCACACTTTTTTAATGAAATGGCGTACTTTTCACCTGCAAATGTATCTAAAACAATATTTTGGTATGTCACAGCTATTGCCACTTTAATGTTTCACAATCTTTACAAATATACATTGTGTTGAATTTATATAGTTTGTACAAATTTTGTTTAATAAAAATAATTGAATCAAAACTTGAAGCACAACTTATCATAGAAAAAACGAAGGTTTTGAAATATATTGTCACTAGAGGGCGACTTATTCAGCTGCACATACGGATGTCATTACACGGTGGCCTGCCGCCAGAGAATATCTTTTTAACAGATTTTAATGTTCTTCTTGCAAATAGTAGAAATGTTTTAAACCGCTACAGTTGTTGCTTTGCGCCATGTTTGTTGAACACAAAATAACATCCGTTAATAATTCCGTAGCGTGAAAGGATATAGAAAACTTTTTTTGTTAGAAATACCGCCACCTAGAGTCAAAACTTAAACAGCATTTGTTCATGTATTGAGGGAAAAAACATCAGAAATATTGTGATCCTTAAGACAACTTGTTGGCTCTCTAAAGCCTGCCTAACCGTCCCTGTCCATTGGAGGATAGGGGGTACAGGGAACTAGGAAGGGATTTTAGTTTATTTTAAGACAAACCTGCAAGTTGCCTCAAAAATCCATGACATCTGTGTAGGAGAGCCACGTTGGCTTATTTTTCATGGGAATGTTTACAGCATATTCCGGAGTTGGACAATTGGAATCTGGACTAGACTGTTATCACACCTCTTAGCCATGTTGTTTATAATAATTCAACAGCCTCAACATCTTGCCCATGTCACTGTTACACTTGAAACAGCACAGTCACAACCTGTGATTAACTTTACTGATGTAATCCTAGTGACCCAAACTTAATTTTGAATCACCAAAAATAAACATTTTCCAATATACGATATTTAACAATTCTAGCAGCTATTGTCCCGCATGTATCTAAGTGTCCAATTCCACACTAATATTTCAAATTTGCGTATTGCAATCGTTACTACCACTTAATGCAAAACACTGAAGCACATTTAGAGGGCGGTGGTCGTCGCAGTGCGCCATTTGTGTTGATCAACATTGGTTTTACCATAATCCAATGCGCTCTTCTAATGGAAATCACAAGTATGAGGTCTGACCTGGGCGCGACACGACTAATTACCGACGGTGACTCGTTTGATACCTTACAATCACCTAAAAATACCCCATTAAAGCTTGGTAACGTCTCGGACTGGACTTGTTGATCTGCGCAACAGTCAAAGTCACCATCTTATATTATACGAGACCCATGCGTGGTGCGACGACTACAGTCCTTTCAGTGTGTGTACATGTTACAAGTTCATCTACTTTCTGAAGAGAAGAAAAAGAGACATTTTCAGTTTTTCATTTTATTTATAAATGTATACCTGGCTATTATCGCAAAACATTACCCGCCATTCTGGGTCTAGCAAGACTTACAAATAAATGAAACAACCTAGATTATATTTTTCATAAAATATACAATCGAAAATAAAAAAAAAAAAAAAAAGCACTGATTCCGAAGTTATTGGTACCCAAAGAAACAATGCAAACTGAATAAAATCATGCATCCAAACATGATATAAACTAATTTGTAAATTATATTATCAGTCTTTTGTTTAACTAGACGGAGTAGAGTAGGATAATCCTCATGTACAATTACACTACAACTAAAACAGGTTGAAATTATCCAGAGAAAACGACAGCGAAGTAATAAATACGCACAATCCTTTGCAGCATTTCCCCCCCTATAATTGAAATACAACTCCTTATCTAAAGAAAAAGTTAAAAACAATTAATATGGACAGCGAGTACACTCAGAATTTTTTTTTTTTTTTACAATGTTGAGTATTTTCAACTACATATGTTTTTTATAATAATATACTTCCATTAAAAATAGTACAACCCATGAAATATATTAGTAAAAAAAAAAAAAAAAAAAAATCACTCAAAAAAAAAAAATTATGCCTATAGAGCATTTTTCAGTTGAAGCCAACATTTACAGCAAGTTTGTGATCGTCACAAACACTTTTTTTTTCTTATAATACATAATATACACTTATGAAGGCTGTAAGTATATATATTTTTTTTACATGTACATAATTCATTCAACTTCTTGTTATATTAATGGCAGTGATGTTTTGCTTTAACCTCCGTCAATTTATTAATTACATGTACATTTTCTCTATAAAAGAAACAATTCTCTCAGTTTGATATAAAAAAAAACCAAGACTATGTTTTCCTTGGAAGCTCTTAAACTCCAGACAAGTCATAAAATTGACCCCTGATACTGTCAAAACATGGAGTAATGGGTGAAGAGTCAACTATTCTACAATTTGCATATTATGAATAAATTTGCATTGGTAATCACTCTAAACTGTACATTCCTCAAAGTAATTTAATTTTTTTTTATATATTTCATTCAAATATTTTTATATGAAATTTGAAAAGACTATAATATAGTAGTTGTACATAAATTTGCATACTGCTCATACATGACAAATATGGAACTTGTCATTCCAAATTCATGATCATCCAATTAACATAAATTCCAAATAAGGTAACACTACATAAATTTGCACACTGCTCACACACGGCAGCCAAATATGGAACTTGTCATTCCAAATTCATGTTCATCCAATTAACATAAATTCCAAATAAGATAACACTACATAAATTTGCACACTGCTCACACACCACAGCCAAATATGGAACTTGTCATTCCAAATTCATAATCACCCAATTAACATAAATTCCAAATAAGGTAACCTACATAAATTTGCACACTGCACACTAAGGTGGTAATTAACATATTACCATATATAGAGTTGAATTTTGTGTTCCTGAAATCTTGGTTGTTTTAAATTCTGATCTTATTTAGAATATGATCATTTTAAGAAACAATTAAAATATTTCAGTCAAAATGTTTTTTTTCATAATAAAAATGTCAGAATGACAAAGACTACCTGCCGGCAGATGACAACAAACTCAGATTTTAATATTCACTGTAATTTTGTACTTTGAAATCATCACAAGAAGATGCCGATACTGCATAGCGCACACAGTGAAAAAACACACACTAAATGTGTTCACATAAAAAGTAGCATCACATTCAACTTGAACAGCACCTCTTGTAGTTCATGAAACTCTGCTTTCTACTTTCCTGATTAGGGTCAAGGTTCACTAGTAATGCCAATTTCTAATGCTGAGTAGGTATGTACAATAATTTATTGGTACTTAGCCGATTGGCATGGTTTTGGTTGGTGCAATTTCCAACAACAACTGGAAGAAGATTGTGAATTTACCTGCAAGATAGAAACAGAACAGATTGAATATGAGAAATGCATCAGTACATGCATTTTTAAATCAATGAAACATCCAGAACAAAGTAGTTGATCAGATATTCATAAATAAATAATGTGATAACACAAACACACTGTCTTGTTAATCAAGGTGTCTAAAACTAATAAAACCTTTAATAAGTAGTACCGTTAAAGTCCTAATATAAACCGCATACGTAATAGTAACTGCACCCCCAATTCCGGCTTCGGGGTTAAAGAGTTCTTAACAAAAATTGAAAACTTGAAAAGTACCTATTACTAACCGCACCCCCAATTCAACAAGACCGTGACTGACTTCATTGTTTCAACCAGCTGTTCCAAAACGGCATTGTTCCTAATCCTATTCATTTGTTTCGACAACATGCCCAAAAATATTCACACCTATTTATTGTTCAGCGGTGATAAGATGTCAGACAGGCAATGAAACTGCTTTTGTTCTGGTGGCGACCTCTGTCAATACTCTTTCTGAATACGTCTGTGTTTCGTAAGTTTTAGACAATGAGCTTTTA